ATAACGATTTAACTAGAATAGAAGTTACTGATTCCAGCTCTCCCAAAGGCAAAATAATAATGTTGAGAATGGAAATAACTGCATTTGTCATGGGATTTAGTGAAGTATAATAAAAATGTATTTTTAGACAAATAATCTGAGGTGTTTGTCAACAGGAAGTCCATTCACAGTGCGGGTGACAGGTGAGGGTCGCATCCGGGAGAGCATCACCCGACGACAGAAGGCGCCGTCTGTCGCCAGTGTGGGAAGTGTGTGTGACCTCAGTCTTAAAATACCAGGTACACACGCAGTCTTTCTTACCTTGCTAATCTGAAGGCTCCTCTGATTATCTGCTTGTGGTGTCAGAGGGTTGTCCACACATCTGGACCCATGCAGTGGCTTTTGCCTTATGTTTATCCATTAGGTCCATCTGTAAATGTCTTCAACTGTGTTTGGTTGTTTGTTATATCACTGAAAAACACTTGAAACAACATTCAAACGCCCTGTGTGGTCAGAGCCTCTCCTTTTCCTTTTCCAAATTGGTTTCCTGTTTAAAGCTCTAGCTTTTCTCTTGTTTCTTACTGCTATACTGTGTCAGCTTTGTCATTTGTTCCTTCTTATTTCTCTTTTCTTTCCATTCCTCCCTTTGTCTCAACCTTCCTGCTTCTCCTTGGCTTTTGTTACTTTTCTTTCTTTTTGACTGTTTTTCTACCTTTTATCTTTTGTTCCCTTTTTCTGGCTTTGTTCTAATCCATATATCCTTTGTCTTCTTCCCTCATTTCTTCCTCAGTTTCTCCTTACTTTCTCCTCCTCTGCCTTCTGCAATTGCTTGTCTCCTCCCCCTCCTCTGTTCTCCTCTTTCTCCAGTGAGCTGGTTCCTCTTGGTCCTGTCCCGTCAGCTCCTCTCTCACACCCCCTCCTGGACCTACTGCTTCCTCAGGTGGTCTGGAAGATCCAGTGGTCGTAGGACTTGCTCCTCTGCTGTTGTCCAGGATCAGAGCCTCTCTCCTGGGCGTGTTCGCCACATCTCCAGCCTTTCTGGTCTGGTGGTGACAAGCGGAGTGAGGGCAGCGAGGGGTGTTTGGGTTGTTGATGCTGGCAGCGTGGTGGGTGGTGCTGGGGTGGAGGGTACATTGTAGAGTACTAAACAGGAATAACAGTGTCTGGGTTTGACAGCATAAGAATGATAACATGTAGCTCTGTGTGTGTGTGTGTGTGTGTGTGTGTGTGTGTGTGTGTGTGTGTGTGTGTGTGTGTGTGTGTGTGTGTGTGTGTGAGAATTCACAACATCTGCTTTTAGCTTTACTCTGGATTGGTATTAAGGCTGAGTGGTTGTAAAGGATAAGGCTAGGGAAGTCAAAATGAATGAATATACAAACAGTAATAAAACACCATACTGTCCATCTCTGTCTGCAGCCATAGACATGCATGATGTCACTGCTGAAGTCACCTCCCCCTCTGGAGTCAGTCAACCTGCTGAGCTGGTCACTGTGGGAAACGACACCTATTGTGTGCGTTTCGTGCCAACAGAGATGGGAGTGCACAGAGTGAGTGTGAAGTACAGGGGCGTCCACGTTCCAGGTAGCCCCTTCCAGTTCACTGTGGGGCCGCTAGGAGAAGGCGGAGCTTCCAAAGTGAAAGCAGGAGGACCGGGTCTGGAGGGAGCATTGGCAGGAGAGCCAGGTACACACATAGATACAGATGATGTCCTTTCAGGGACTTTACATTGACTACATGCATTCCCTAGTTCTAATATCCTATTAATATTTTCAGAAAATGGTAAAAACAAATGTTTGACAAATCACTCAGTAATAATTCAGAAGTAGCATATTGATGATTTCACTTCATAAATCATGCCGCGTGGCTCTTGCCTATATAATATGTCATTTGCTCCTTTTAATAACAAGAAATCTGTCACTTCATCTTCGAATCTGTAGTATCGCTCTCCCCCAGAGCTGCTGCAGAGAAGATCTGAACAAATACAAAAGGCTTGTTTTTAAAAAAACATTTTTATTGTGGATTTACACTTTTCTGATGTTCTGTCTCTCACCAGCTGAGTTCAGTATCTGGACGAGGGAGGCAGGGGCCGGCGGTCTGTCCATCGCCGTGGAGGGACCCAGCAGGGCGGAGATCTCCTTTGATGACCGCAAAGACGGATCTTGTGGAGTCGCTTACATTGCTCAGGAGCCTGGTAGAGAAAAACGCACGCACGTCGTTTACCTGTTGACCATTAATGTATCTTTCTCACTCTGAGTTGCATTCTCATTCTCTCTTCTCCAGGTGATTATGAGGTTTCAGTCAAGTTTAACAACCAACACATCCCTGACAGCCCCTACCTAGTTCCTGTCGTTGCTCCAGTGAATGATGCCCGTCGTCTCACTGTTACCGGTCTTCAGGTGAGGCATGAGGAGACACCTCCACAGCCAGCCTGCCCTGCCTTGCTAAAGGGCTCTGAGGCACAGTTGCATAAAAATGTGGTGGGATTTTATCCCCATACAGAGCCAATGAAGTGGGTGTGAGGGTTCAACTGATTTGGGTTTTTATTGAAGACGGTGAACTGCTAATTATAACTCCTTACCTTGGGATCAAATTTATGATGAGTAATCATTGTGGCACCAGCAAGTTTGAAGTTTCTGCTGCTGTTTAAAACAACGCTACTAAAATACAGGTTAAGGACCTGACTCCTGTTTGTAATGTTTTATGACTCGCCACAGTTCAAGCCAAGTTTCAGTACATCTGCGAGCAGGGCGGAAGTGTGTTTTTGAGTTGTAACTAATGGTAAACTAATAATGTTTTGTGACAAGAAGAAATAGTTTGTAGATTTTCAACCCTTTAAAACACAGATAGTGAACAGTGAGCTTGACACCAGCCTTAAGCAGCCCACCATCAGTCAAACCCACATTGCAAACCGGTTCAACCATTTCAGTTTTTTTTTTATGCAACTGGCCTCCGGATGTGACCGCAGCCAGGCAAACCCACAGTGTGATGTTCACATTTTGGCCTGAGACAGGTGCTAAAGGAAACATGAGTGAAAAATGGAAATGAATCATCCTCTGAGCAATAGCAACATCAAATTTCACCATCACATTCTTAGGAATGAACTACGGCTGTACATATCAATTACTTGAGGCAGTGTATTATATAAAATGTCAAACTGTAAAAAAAAAAAAAAAAAAAATGTCCATTGTAATTATTCAAAGGGATGTCTTTATGTGTCTGATAATTACCAATAGAATTCAGACACTTTCATTAACTTCTGTTGTGATGGCGGCACTAGACCATGAGATGACAAAAAAAATAGGATTTATCTTATGGCTTACCAGAAATATTTATATTGGACTTAATTGCTGTCTGGCCAACGGTTGTTGAGTAACATGTTCATCAGACGTCATCTTTGTAAAGTGACATCTGGAATATATTCAGTCATGTACTGTAGCCCCAAACACACTCGCCCGTCCGGCTCAGTTACATACCTGTGGTTTTGCCTGGCTCTGCTCATCCCCTCTTTTGGTCTGGTGTGGAACTGTGGTGTTTCTCTTGTGCTTCATTTAAAGGCTTTTCACAGCACCATCATCTTCATCAGCATCAGCATCGTCAGCTCCCTGGTCAGCTAGCTACAGCAGACAGAGATGGGCCACAGCAGACCTTGCTGTCAGTTGATCTTGGGTCGTAGGGTACAGTCAACAGATGAAGCATTGCTGTCCGGGTACCTAATGAGAATTACACATCAGTGTTGGACTAGATATTTTATAATCTGCTGTGAAGAGGAACTTAGTCAGCAGATTGGGATTTTGCCAACTTGCTTATCCTATTTAAATCAGTGATTTTTCCAATTAATGAGAAGAGCTGGCAAAATTGGGTTTACAGTGTTTTTGCATCAATGTGATCAAGTATCTTGACTTGTCAGAAAATAGACATTATTAATCAAAAACAGATTTTCTTATCTGTTTCTTATTTTAATTTTCTGTGTAGTATGTCATTTTATACATATGAATAGGTTACAAATTGTCCCCTGTTTAATATTTTTTTAAAGTTCTTGTACAGTGGCTTTCCTTTAGACAATATTTAAAATAAAAACATTTAAACTAACATTTATTAAAATAATTTACATCTTATTATACCATAAATTTATAATAGAACTTGGGCTTCTTCTGTGAAATAAGTATTTCATAGAAAATATTTGTATTCTTTACAAGATACAGAAAAAGTACAGGTTTGTTAATGCTCTGGTATCATATCTGCACCAGTACTGGAAGTTTTCAAACAATAATCAAATTTAACAGATCTTTCTTAAACATGAGTACTGAAAAACAATCTGCCACTATTATTTCTTTTAAACTGAAAGTTGTACATCATACCAGTTCCTCCTTAAAGACCGTGCTGCTCCACTGGTAGAATGTAGAGAAGTGTTCATTCTGCTTTTGAATGCTGTGGCCATCTGCCTCTGTCTGCTGGAGCTGCACCAGCAGGACCTCAGGTAAGAGTAGAAACAGCAGAGAATAGAAAAGAATACAGCAGAACAGAAACACAGAACAAAATAACTATTTTGTTGGCAGCAATTTCATCTGCTCTTTAAACATGACTGTGTGTGTGTGTGTTGTGAAGTGTTACCCTGTGTTCTCCCCATCATGCAACTGACTGTGCATCCATCCCTGACAGGAGTCTGGTCTGAAAGTGAATCACCCAGCTTCCTTTGCAGTGGGTTTGAATGGAGCACAGGGAAAGATGGAGGCCAAAGTCCACAGCCCTTCTGGTGCTCTGGAGGAGTGTGTTGTCACCGAGCTGGAGAAAGGTAGGTTTTTTTTAAGGCAAAATACGGTAACAAGACAAAAACCAGAGAGTCACTGCCTGAACTCGTAAGTTTCAAACCTCTTTTATGTTGGAACTACTGGTAACAAATCCCTTCGTCCTGTCCTCCAGACAAATACGCAATCAGGTTCATCCCCAGGGAGAATGGCATCCACACCATTGATGTCAAGTTCAATGGCTCTCACATCCCAGGAAGTCCTTTCCAGGTGCGAGTAGGGGAACCAGGACAGACTGGGGACCCTGGTCTAGTCTCAGCATATGGAGCTGGCCTGGAGAGAGGCACAACAGGTGGGTAAAAAAAAAAAAAAAAAAAAAAAAAAAAGGGCCATCATTGTAACACATACGGTTTTTCCACCTCATTTACATAAACAAAATGTATTAATTGTTTTCACTAATAGCAGCACTTTCTCTATTCAACAGCTCATCTACCAAACAGAGCATAAAAACTATTTAGTCTGTCCCAGCATCACCAATTTTAACTTAGCCTTTCAGTAAGTGTTTATTAATTATATGAATGAATATCGGCTAGCTCTTTTTCAGTAATGGACAAGACAAGTTTGCATCGCTAACCTGTGTATGAGACTCATTTTTTTTATTTTTTTATTTTTTTATTTAATAAGCTTCATGGGCAAATCACCAAGGTGTTAGATTAGATGACTAATTGGTTGAATAGATTTTTCTTTGCCATGGCATCAGAGATTTTGGCAGACCATCACAGAGAAATGTTACCAACAAACACTGTCAGTTAAATTAGAATTGCAGCTAACATAATTTTTATCAGTTAATCTTGTTACGTGTCTTTAATCTTGCAGGTAGCCAGTCGGAGTTCATCATTAACAACACTAAGGCAGGTCCTGGGGCCTTGGTTGTGACCATTGAGGGTCCGTCCAAGGTAAAGATGGACTGCCAGGAGGTCCCAGAGGGCTACAAGGTGCAGTACACCCCCATGGCACCTGGAAACTATCTGATCAGCATCAAATATGGAGGACCAAACCACATCATCGGTAGCCCCTTCAAGGCTAAAGTTACAGGTAATGTGGAGACATCACTCTGCTAAACTTTGCTGTGCTGTACAACCCTTTGCTACAAACTAGGCATTAGTGACATAAGCTTAATTCATGGATTTTTTTTGTTTACTGTAAGAATCTCAATGCAAACACTGTCCTTATCTTAAGGTTTCAAGCTCATTTCATGGTTTTTTCAGCAAATGAGAAGGATGACCATGACATGAAGTTGAAAGCTACAGTATCATTATTTTTCCTATACCTTCATGCCTGTATGATGATTGTGGCTTTTCAACGTCAAATGGCATTCTGGGAAATGTAGGAGAGCCGTACTGAAGAAAGAACCGATGAGACAGGCTTTCATTTTACAGAAATCCCCTTTTAGCATAGTGACTTTCTTTTTTTACTTTTGTTTTCTTCCACTGCAAAGCATTTTGAAAGGTTTTAAAGCTACTACCATCAGATTTATTAAACATAATGGTACTTGATTTTTTTCTCTTCTCTCAGGTCCTAAACTGGTGAATGTGACCAATGCCAGTGAGATGTCAACCCTGACGGTGGATCCAGCAGTACAGTTGTCCAGCAGCAGCAGCAGCTTTACCCGCAGTGCTATGCCATGGCCGACCGACTCTGACGCCAGCAAGGTGCTGAGCCGAGGACCAGGCCTCAGCAAGGCCTTTGTCGGTCAGAGGAGCAACTTCTCAGTTGACTGCAGCAAGGCCGGTAAGAGAGACCACCCCCAACATGATGCTGTTGACTTGTGATGATGGTGCACATGAACAACTTCTGTTGTGACCAACAGTGCCCCAGTAAAGTTTATCATCCATTTCACTGTTCACACAATGGGGATCATGATCAGTTTTGTTACTTAAAATGGTTGTTACATTTTTTTTCTCAAAGCAGAGTATCGCTTTGGTGTCAGTACTGAAACTGAGGAATCAGACGTTTCAGTATCAAGGCAAAACCAATACTTTCTTCAAAATGTATTAAAGAATTTCTCAACAGCTAATCAGAGGTCCTCCTCTGACTTTTTTGGAGGGAGTGGTTGCCCAGGCTAAGCCATCTGGCTCCCCTCGAGATGTCGTTTCTCCGGGTTTATTTAAGGAAGTCTTCCCATGTATTGGAAGCACGGTTTTGGAAATTATTAATAGTAGTTTATCTTCTGGTGTTGTGCCTGGTTATTTTAAGCATGCAGTTTTGCAACCTCTACTCAAAAAGCCACGTCTGGATCAATCCATGTTGAGTAATTTTAGCCCGATTTCTAAGTTACCTTTTATCTTGAAGATTTTGGAAAAAGTGGTCTATGCGCAGGTGAAATCCTTTTTAGATGAGAATAACTTATTGGAGGTTTTTCAATCGGGCTTTGAACCCATGCATAGTACAGAGTCAGCCTTACTGAAGGTTGTTAATATTTATTTGGCCACTGATGCGGGTGAATATGTGATTCTTGTCCTGCTGGACTTGACTGCCGCTTTTGACATGGTTGACCATGACATTTTAATATCTCTTCAAGATTTAGTGGGCATTCGTGGTGTTGCCCTAGCGTGGTTTAAGTCATATTTATCAGGTAGATCGGTGTCTGTCAGGTTGGCAGATGTGGAATCGGTGACAATCTCTTTATCTGGGGTCCCACAGGGCTCCATTCTGGGGCCTCTGCTTTTTTCACTATATTTACTTCCCCTTGGCTCTATCTTTAGGAAACATGGGGTCTCTTTTCATTGCTATGCTGACGATGTCCAGATTATTATGCCACTGAGTAAGAAGGACACCTACTCGATTCAACCGCTTTTAGCATGTCTTGCTGATATTAAGGGCTGGATGTCGTTAAACAGTTTAAAGTTAAATGATGCTAAAACTGAGGTTATAGTGTTTGGTTTGAAAAAAAGGGTGTTTGTTAAAACAATGATTTTTGTCTTGTGCTCCCTAAAAATTATGCCGTTTCTGCTAACAACTCCATATGAACCTGCAAATTCAATGCTAAAACAGTCAAAAGTCGAAGAAATAAACAATTTTGTCAATCAGGGAAATACACACACACACACACACATGCACAATTGGGGGGCGTAAGAAGGACCACATAACGCCAGTACTGGCATCTCTCCACTGGCTTCCGGTGCGTTTTAGGGTTCGTTTTAAGATTCTTTTATTTGTTTATAAATCCTTAAATGGGCTGGCACCATCTTATCTTGTGGAACTTTTGTGTCCGTATAATCCGTCGCAGTGCCTCAGATCAGCTGATCAGCTTCTTCTGGAGGCACCAAGGGCCAGGCAGAAAACTAGGGGGGATAGAGCCTTCGCTGTGGTGCGTCCAAACCTGTGGAATGCTTTGCCGCTTTATATTAGGCAGGCACCCTCGCTGTCTACTTTTAAGTCTTATTTGAAGACCTACTTGTATTCATTGGCGTTTGGCCAGGAATGAGACTCTGTCTGTAGTGTTAGTGTCTATATTATTGTTTATAGTTTTTTATATGATTTTAGATTTGTATGATATGTTAAGTGCTTTGGTCAGCTGTGCTGTGGTAAAGCGCTATATAAATAAAGTTGAGTTGAGTTGAGATCAGGTATTACAGTTTGATACTCTGTGCTACAGCCGTGCTTCGATACCCCTTTTTCCAACAATTCCCAGCCCTACCAACCGCTACTATAAAATTATGCAAATATACTGAACTATGTCTGTCAAGTGATGTCTCTGATATGACTAATGGGAATAACAAGTGAGACTTTGAAAAGAAACAGGACATTTTCCACCTAACATAGTCTGGATGCTTCACTTACTGTCGTCTTTGCTTCCCCTCCTCTTCTCAGGTAAGAACATGCTCATGGTGGGCGTGCACGGTCCTCAGGCCCCCTGTGAGGAGGTTCAGGTGAAACACTTGGGCAACCTGCAGTACAACATCAGCTACCTGCTGAAGGAGCGGGGCTACTACATCCTAGTGGTTAAATGGGGTGATGACCATGTCCCAGGCTCCCCCTTCCACGTCACCGTCCCATAATCCACCAAGAAACCTGCTGTCACTCCTCCTACACCATTTTGCATCCCTGTTTAAAGGAGAGGCATTAGTTGCACTGCAAATAACTGTCCAACAAACAAACGGCTCAAAGTTGTGCGCTTAGTTTTCTGTCAAGACCCGAGGTCTAAATTATTTTGTGTTGATAACCTTTTGCAAAGTTTCTCAAACTGCAAAACTGCCCTTCAAATAGGAAAAAGTGCCAGATTTTAAAAACTGGCATGAAAATCAACTGAAAGCTGAAGGACAAAGAAATTGAACACATCAGTGAATGGAGGCCGTTACTTGATGAGTTGGACATGTTCTGCAGTAAATCAGAGAGGCAAAATGGTAAATGGGGGTAGACAGAATCTGACCTTTATCTGGAGCTGTAAAAAAAATTAAAAGGAGCAATTAATTTGTACAAAGACATCTCAGCTGGTGATTCTTGCTGCCCTGAAATGATCAGGTATCAAATACTGCACTCAACGTTTTATACTTGATGGGTGAATTAAACATATGCTATGTTTTACACAAGTAGTTAGTGTGTGACAATGTCAGGACACAACAGCAAGGTCTCTGCATGTTTCCAAAATGTTAAACTGGATTTGGAAAAGGTTTGCACTGAGACAAGTGGAGCCAAACATTTAAATGCTTACATTTAGAAAAATCACATCTTTTTTTACACAGTGCCAAGAAACAACATGAAACACATGCAACATGGACTTCTGAGAGATTTTAGTGGTTCCTTGTAACAAGGAGCCAAATTAACCTTGTTCTCTCTTCTTGACATGAGGAAAACCAGCCAATAATTGCCAAATCTGTGCAGAACCTTTCAATATTATGATGAAGTGCTGTGAACGAAACAACTTCTCAATTAAAAAAGAAAACTAGTTCTGTATTTAGTTTCAGTTATGTGTTTTTAAAGTGTGGGCTGACCAGACCTGCCAAACTATATGTGACTACTGTTTATTGCTTTCTTTCTTTTGAACCTTGTCTTCCAAAGTCCCATGAGTACATAATGTTGCCATTTAAAAAAAAATAATAAAAAATTGGTGACTGTGTAAGATGCCTTCACACTACTGTTTCCTGCACTGTACAACTGACTACTTAATATACGACCATGAGTCTAGGGTTCATTGCTGTTCTCTGTAGTTCCTTCAGCTGCAGTTTCACATGAACACATCTGACTTTTAACTTTGCAGTTCAGTTCTGATCTACTCCCTGTCTGCTCTTGGGCAGTAGAAATCGAACTCTGGTAAGAAAGCTGGATGACTATGATATTGATTATATATCAATATTTCTCAGAGCAGTAATACTCTTTACAGTGAATGCAAACTCAAAAGCACTGCATACAACACTGAAATCAGATCTGAGCTGGAAAAGGAGAGGTCAGATTTTTGGTTTGTGTAAATCCTGGAGAAATTAATCTTGTCTTCTTTTACCTGGATGCTACCTAATCACCACTACTTTTGATACTTGAGGGATGTAAGGATTTTTGTACAGAGGGAATCATCTCATTTTTGCATTAGGCAATGGGTGTTTTAATGTGAAACTAAGTCCTGCAATGATGTACATTTGATAACTGAAATAAACTGGAATTAAGAAGATCGTCATTTCCGTTTCCTTCATGTCAGTGTCTAAGCAAAGATTTTTAACATTTGAAAATTTTACTTTCAGAAGTGGTTTAATTTAGGGGCAATACCCAGTTATTAAATAACTTTCTGGGTGATTGATGGTGGTGCAGATCACTGAGTATAATTTACAGGTACATGAGATAAATCAGGCATTACACATCATGCATAATGGTCTTGTGTAAGCCATACTGCTCTGGCATTGTTGGAGAATATTTGCTGTTTTTAAGAAGTACTGGGATGCCAACATGTGACTAAAGGCATGTCTACCCCCCATTTATGGCTAATTAGCTCTACTGTATCTGTGCCGTCAGCATTGTGTACATTACTTAAATAGGTCACATATTTGCTACGCAGACCTCGAGGTAAAGTCAGAATGTCAGATTTTTACCTGTTATCCAGCAGCAAGTCATTAAAAGTCATTTTGTAATGAAGATGCCCATTGTCTACCATGGGGCAATTCTAACTAAGTTCTAACTAAGTTCTAACTCAGGCTTATGGGACCAGTTTCACAGTGACTGAGGCCGATAAAATGGACACACATATTTCTATCTCTATGGACATTTTGTGGCATTAATGCATCTTGTCCCTGGACTTTTGCAGGAACAAATATAACCTGTATTTCTTGTGTTGATCCCAGGTGAGTCATGGAAGAAGTGGAGCTTGTAACGGCTCTTCAGCAAGCTGGTCATCTATTAACTTTACATTCCATCACAGAACTTAGATTTTTGTTCATTCATGTGTAAACCAGTAGAAAGTCCACTCTTCCATACACTTCAAGCATTAAAGCAACTAATTCAACAGAATCTTGTGAAAATGCTGGAAATTTCAATTACCATTATCATTTATGGCAGAGGTAAAAGGCTTTAAGCATTACAAAGGGATTTGATTTTGGTTAGTGTAATGGATGGAACCACAGGGTGTGTGTGTGTTTGTATGTATCACGTTTCCCTGTGTTACAGTTTGTTATCCGAGCCACAGCTCATTTCCACAGGAAGCACCTGATCCTGCACATCTCCGCATCAGGCGCAGGTAAATAAAGATATTTAGGACTCACTATTTAGCTACTTCATGAATGGGATTTCAGAAATGTGGTGTCTTTACTGTATAAATAATGACATACAGTTTGCTGGAAGACCAGGATGAGTGAATTCTCCATTGCCTTTGATTTTTAACTGATTTGTTCTTTCTGTTGTGAAAAACTGTTGTGCATTTATTGTGTTGTTTGTGGTGGTGTTGTGACACAGTAGACCTTTTTGCAAACATTCAATTCAATGAAATCCAGACTTTTCTGTCACTAATTTTGTTTCTTTTTCTTGCACGTTATAGATAATGACAACAAAAGTTTCTACTCACATTTGTGTTACCAGACCAAACTTAGCTTGTCTGAGTGCTTTTGAGATGTTTCAGACAAGAGACAAATCTATTGGATGTGATGAAGACAGAAACGTAGATAACAGGAATCTCAGCATGAACATCTGGCAGCTGTTTACAATATGTGACCAAAGGTTTTTGATTAATTGTAACAAGGTGTTTAACCTAAACAACAAATACTTTATATTATGTATTACCCTCTAAAATGAACCATGTGTTTTGTCATCCAACAATCTGACTGGCAGGACAATTTCTTTTTCCAGCTACTGTTACAGATTCATGGGACTGTTTCCTGATTTGCCAGCTGAATGGTTGAGACTTGGTTAATGTAAGACAACTGAAACTATTTGGTTAAGGTTAGGGAATGACTCTGGTCATGGTTTAATGAAACTAACACAAACTGTTGATAAGAAACCCTGTGCAAACAATGTTCTCACTTGGCAAAGTCAGAAGCTGTTGTAACTTCCTGTCGGCAGAGCAAATGTTAAAATTCTAGCATCAGTTCCTTTCTTTGTCGGTAGATGAAGCACATTCACATGCCTAAATCTGCAGGTCCAACCTGCTGCTGTTACATTACTCACGGCTAAGAGGAGCATTTATGTTGTGAAGTGGGAAGAGCTACTGAAGCATTTTTCCATCTCAGAATTTGCATTACGTTTTATTCTTACAGTGATATCACCAATGTTAGTGAGCATAAAAACACAGGAATGTCTCAGATAATTTGTTAACGCTAACATTTTGTGGCATGGTCACCCATTTAATTTATTTTTCACAGTTGCTAAAATCATCCAAAATTGTCCCAGAGTCAGACAGTGAGATCAGATATAATATTTTAAGATGCAGATTGTGCCCCTCAGTTTTCTCAGCAGCTTAATCTTTAGCGTTTGCTCACCATTACTGGTGCAAGTCACCAGAACTAGGGGGTACCAAAATATCTCCTTTGACACATCTGTGTTACTGGCTGAACCTGGATTTAGATGCTTTTCATTAATGACATTGTTCCTTAGAGAAGCCATGTCCACCAGTAAGTACACAGCTATAACTGTACCTATATTGGCTGATCATGTTTAAAGCTTGTTAAACATGCTCTATTAAAGATGTTATTTAATGTAAAACTGAGTCAAAATGATGAACTGAGTTGTTAAATGAGATGTTTCATGCAGGACATGCGTGGCCTGCTAACAACTCAAAGCCAGAACTCCTACCGGGAGCAGATCCAGAAGGAAATGTTGACACGTTTGGCCTGGAAGAGCCGCTACGCCCAGTTTTACCCGTCCTATAATCCTCAGAACCTCAGCAACGAGCCCACACAGCTGCCCCGCCTGGCTGCTGTCCCTAGGTCAGCTGCTTGTGATAACGTTAAGAATGTTGGAGGGGTATACTCAGCAAATTAATCTTGTGTTTATGCTGGACCTACAGTACCAGGGTTGTCCTGCCTCCTGTGACTAGGACACCTGAGAAGCAGAGCGACCTTCCTCCTCCTCCTTCTGTGCTGTCTGTGAAAGTAGAGGGTGGGCAAAATGTGCCCCCTACCATGAGGCCAGTTTCTCCCCAGACCAGACAGGCCCTCTATCAGGACTCCTCTCACCATGTACTAATTACTGAAACACTTGACTTTAAAATGTTCAGTCACTGTTGTTTTTATGAGAATAAAATTCTTCTAGTAGTTGTTAGCGATGCACAGTAGCTTATGGAAATCTGCACTCTATTTACAAATTTATTCTTGTTTACTCATAGCTCGAAACTAAAACATTCCTATTCAGTACATACTGTGCATAAAACAAACCTCTTTCCAGTTGTTTTATTAAAATAAACATGACTGTGCTGAGATTTTACTTGTGTCCAAACTGCAAACAAAGCTAATAATGCTAATCCTCTTATTAAAGTCATTGACTTCTAGCTAACATTTATACCAAAACATGCAATTAGCCATTTCATATTACTGGTCAGTACTTGTAGACATATATGTACTTGTACTTGACAAACTTATGTTTATATAATATTTTAATAATCATTTTGTCTTGTGCAGGGGAAAGGGCGCAGTTTGTACCTGCAGAGACGTGGCCAAATTAGACCAGAGGAGAAGTTTGACTTTCCTCTGCTCTCATCCTGGGAGTATGGTTGGAGGCTGGGTAAGATAAAGACGCTGTCTAATTCACTATTCCATGAGTCCAGTCAAGAACGCAAATTCAGAAAGGCCTCATGTTTGTCTGTGTTTAGTATGCAGCCTGTATCCTATTTGTACTGGAAGATTTATGGTACCTGCCTGGATCCACAGGTGACTACACAACGGTTTACAGAACTCCATCTTGTGCCAGGTCGTCGGTGGTGAAGAACACCTTCTACGCAAAAAACGGTGTGTTCAACGCCTTGTCAGCCACCGACAAACTGGGCTGAAGTTTAGCTATCAGACAGAGGTTGTGTTTTAATGAGAGTTTACAGCAGATAACAGACATACATGTAATGAACACATTCCTGTTTGTTTTAAGACACAACCCGACTTTGTCTTAATGGCCAACTGTGCCAGAAAATTCCCAAACACTCCCAAATGCAGTTCACATCTTTTTGGGATTTGGGGATATTATAAACCTTATTGGAATCTTTTTGAGTCATATTATACAATTTTGGGGGTTAGGATTGTAGGATTGCTAATTAAATAAGGGAGTGTAACTCATGGAACTTTCAATTAAAACAAGATGTTTTTTTGTTTTTTTTGCTTCCTAAGCATTATCTGGGTATTGTTTTGTGTTTCATAGATTTGATTTTATTCCCTCCTGCACAAAAACACCAGTGTCAGGTGTTTTCCAACAACTTGAATGGAATGGTCACATATAACAAATCTGAAAGCATATCAGATTTTTATGATGAGGTTAGAAGGTCTGCCCACCCAATTAGTTTGCTTGTGGGGATGAGAATAATGGTGGAAGGGGGGGGAAATGCAATACATAAATCCATCCATATGCTTCCTGTAATACTGTCTGTTTACCATCTACACAGTTGTAAGGTTAAATGTCAAACAACCTTATACAGGTACCCTGTGATGGATAATTAACAAGCTCCTGGTCTGGTATCAGTCAGAGATTCATTTCAACTCCACACACCTGATACCTCAGTGTTTTTAAACAGTGAGCCGCTGGAGGAAATGTTTCACATCACATCTTTAAATATTTTATTCCTAATCATTAATCTAATCATTCATTTCCATGCCATTCTAAACAATGTAGTTTTATTACTGTTACACAACTCAATAATCAAATAAAATGTTATGTAGTGGTTAAAATTGTGTGTGTGTAACGGAGTATTCATTTCAATGTGCTTAAAACAATCAAATAAAGCTGGTGAATTGTTCACTGTGAAGGATTTATTGCAATCCCCAAATATTGACTGTTGGAAAATTTGGAATTTGATATAAAATGTTACAGTATGTTTTTGGAAAATAGTAATTTAAAGTACACATGATTTGTTATTACAGTAATGAGCTAAAACATGCAACACGATACGACTCAGGCAACCTTTATTAATTCTGCTTGTTTTTGTACTATTTCAGGAAGCACATTTTATTTCATTGCTATAAATGCTTCAAAAGGTCTGTGACTTTGAGTATGATTGGGGCTGGAGCTTTAAGCAGTGGAAAAGATCAGGAAGCCGGTGAAGGTGTGGCTGGTGCTGCTCTGGCCTGCCACAATGTTGTTGTACTTGGTTGCTTGCAGTGAGACCATGTCTCCCGCCTCCAGCTTGAGGACCGCCGAACCGGAGGTGACCAGGAAACCGTCAGATGTGTCACACAGCGTCATGTGGGCTTCACCGCGCCTCATCAGCTTCAGACACACCTAGATGATCATAAAAATACACTCAGGAGCAGAAATAACTACAATAAAACTTCAGATTAGAGAGTACAGTACCAAGGAAATTTTTCATAGTACATACAGTGTCAGGTCACAGGTTAGTTTAGCTTTAGCTAAACCTCATGTTCAAGCTGAGTTTAGGAAAGCTGGTTTCAGATCATATGCGCTCTCTAAATGGAATGAACTGCAGAATACTGTGAACCTGAAATCTTTCATTTCACTTGAAGATGTAAAAAAAACTATACATATTATTTGCAACTTGTAATTACTTTTCTTAATGGAAAACTGTAATAACATGTGCATGAAATGTTCTTGCTCTGTCCATATTTAAACAATGTTTTTCTTGCAGACTGGTCACTCTTGAAAAAGGGATCACAATCTTAACGGGACTACTGTTCTAAAAAAATACAAAGACTCACTCTGTTCTTTGCTGATATGTGGTAACTGAAGAAATAGACGCCTTTGGTGGCACATGTGAATGTTCCATTTGTCAGCGACCCTCCTTGAAACCGGTCTGGCAAAATCTCTCTGTGGGAGATTTACACACACTTTTCAGATTTACAGTTGTTGTCTTTTAACTCTAGCATTAAAACTTTCTTGAAAAAGTTGGCCACCATTTTGGTCCAAACTGAAATATTCATTATACGATATTTCATGACATTTAGGCGTCCACATTGCCCTGAAGATAAATCATTTTGACACTGGCTATCCACAGCGCCATCAAGAAATTCACATTTGTGGTTGTGAATCAAACAGCTCAACAAATTTGGTTCAAGGATTAATGTTCAGGTCAAAGTGTAATTATTTTTATGATTGTTTGACATTTCATCATCACATCAAAACTTACCTGTGCCTACTAGAAGGTGGAGTAGGGTCCTACTAAGCCACAAGCATGGTCTTGATAACAAGTGATAAAGGACCACTGAATGGTGTGACAACATCCAGTTAGGCTGCTGTACTGACCTGTCGAAGTTGATGTCAGTGTCAATCTGTGGTGGGTATGATATTGTCCGTACGTAGGAGAAGAAAGATCTTTGCTGGCTGAAAGGGATGAAGGCTCTTCCCTTCTGCCCCTGCCGGCCAGTAGCTCCAGGAGGCCCTGGTTCACCCAGGTCTCCTTTCAGTCCGGGCCGTCCCGGGGGGCCCTGCAGACCTGGCAACCCCTTTTGTCCCCTGCCAGACAAACCTGACTCACCTGCTCAAACAAAAAAGCATAAGACGCTTGTCAGAAGGCTGTTAGTGTGAACTAACTAGAAAGCTAAATGGATTATTTTTAATGTAAACTGAAGGCCAATAAATAAATTAACTATTTTAAATTAGATTTTATTTTGGCATTAAGCTAAAGAACAACAAAAAAAAAACACACAAAGACAAAACAATCAAATAAAGGAAGTAATTTAATCAGTCTGACAGCACAAGATGCTGCAAATATCCAAAACACAAACTAATGCATGTATTTTCTTAAACTGCAGCACAATGGGCCAGTGCACGATACAAACAGTGATATGCAGAAATTCAATATATGCACACTCATGGAATACATGGTCATAGAACACAGAAGTTATTGCAGCAGTACACTTACCACTGGTCTCCCAACCAATGAAATTTCAATTTAACTCCAACTTAAAAATTAATTGAAAGAACCCCCTCCTTAAAAATGTGTTAAATGAACTAAACTTCAATGGTTTGTTCAGTCAGCTGATGAGTTGTGAAAATGCATCAGCTAAGTGAAGTTAACCTGAGAAAACAAATTTAAAAGACCTAACATATCAGGTTTAATCAGCAGCTGCTTAGTCACACTGACACATTACAGATTTGATTTACATTTTCTCAATAAGAAATGATGGCAACATGTGAACAGAGCATGTAAAATGTATCTGATGTCTTCATGTCCAGAGTGAGCTCACCAGGGTCTCCCTTCTCTCCTTTGGGGCCATCTCTACCGTCGGGCCCATGAGTGCCTGGTATCCCAGGAATCCCTGGGGTAACGCCACTGCAAGACTGGGTGACAGCGGTAGTGATGTGAAGCAGGAGCAACAGTGCTGCAGTACTGCAGCTCAGCCACTGGGGGACCTGAACACAAACACAAGACAAGTTTATATCCAAATTTAGCCCAGAACTGAAACAGATTTAAAGAAAATTAGCAAAAGAAAAGCTTATGTCCAACCACTACTTATGACTGCTTATGTCATGTGAATATTAGCTGCTGACCACATCAACATAAACAGTTGGTGGTGTTAATTCTGGTGTTAAACCACTGCAGCAGAAAAGCACAAAAAGGGAGATGCAAGTGTGCCAATAAAGCCTCAAGCATATGAAAACAATGTGGAATTGTGCTTCATGCATATCACCATTTAAATCTGTCTTCACTGCATTTTGTCACACTTTAGTTTTTTTGATACATCCAATTTAAGTGTAAACACGTTTTGTGAAATTGTTTTTTAGCATTTCCATTCAGGTTTTTTATGTACAAATTGAAAATGTTTTGTCACTTAGGAGAACAATACATTGACTTTCATCAGTTCCCTGGAGACCTACCCTAAACCCTAACACCTAACCAAATCTTAATATTAAAATGTAATGTTTTTTCTTGTGGCCAAATAAACATATTGACAGTCACACACATTAACAGCAGATAGAAAGAACACACTCCTGAAGAGCTGACATTGTGGACAGTGGGTTATCACAACAGCAAAACACTAAACTTTATACAGGAATGTACTTTAGGTAATGTTTCCATTGTTTATGCCATTATCCACAAATTATATATACAATATCTATAATTAAGATAATATAAATTCACATTTAAAACAATTTCAAGAAATGCTAAAGCTCAAAATTAAGACACTGGATGCCAGAGCAGCTCTAACATTTCTGCCCAAGAAAGCAAACTAAATGTTATGTTTCCAGGCTAACACAGTGACAGGAACTTATATTTGACATCAAGCAACAATTAGCAAGAAATGAAACCAACTTATTTATCAATTTATCAACAAGGCATCTGTCATAATAAGTGATTTTCTCTTTTTCTCTTTCTGTCTATATTGAAATTTTTTAATTTGTTTTAGCGCGTTGGGTTTTGCAGGATAGAAATGTCTCACCATTTGCAGGTCTTTTGTCTTTTTGCCTTGTGATGCAGTGAAAAGCTGCTGAAGAGCTGTCCTGGTTCGCAGCAACAGAGGTAGCTCAATGAAAACAAAACAGGAAGTGAAACTGTTAAGAGAATAAGATCACTGCTTGACTGGTGCTAAGTGTTTCAGGATACAAAACTGAAGCTGGGAACACAAAAAACTGTCTGCTGAGCAAAGTGATGAAATGTAAAGAAAAAGTCTGTAATAACCAAAATATAGTACTGTGCTAAATTACAAATTTGAAGTACAAGTCCACAACGTTTCAGTGGCAAACATTGTACTTTTCACTCAACTACATTTATTTGACAGATTTACTGTTTTACTGATTTAGCACAAAAATACGTGGAACTTACCATGTACTATTTGTTGTAGATTAAACTACAAATATTGTGTATAAAATAGTGCAAAATGCTGCTTACACATTGATGCATTAATAACCAACAAATTATATAAAATAGCTTATAATAGTAACACTCACAGGAGTCATTTTCTGTATTATGAATCACTTTTGATGCTGTGCTAATAATATTTAAGTGTCACTTTGAAGCTATGAGTTTTACTTGTAATATGTTTTCATTAGTATTTCTGCACTATACTGCATTATTGCTACTCTTACTTACGGCAAGTAAAGGATTTGAATACCTGTGAGTATTCGGGTGTTTTACTCAGTTAAATGTACCAATACATTGATATAAAATACTCAATTACAAGTAAGATTACAATTACAATTTCATCCACAACTGTACTCAAAAGAAACAGAAGTATCATCAGCAGATTTTTTTTCAGTAAATGTACGTAAAATATTAAAAGTAAAGGTGGTGAGTTTTATATTCTTATGACATTAATAGATATCTAATACTGATGCATCAGAGTGTAAGGAGCATGTTACTCTAAAGCTGATTTTAACTACTTTATATAAAGTAAAGCACAAAATAAATCTGAGTCATGGGTAAAAGAGAGGAAAAATAAGAAAATGCAATGTTCTGCTGCACAAATGATTATTAAATACAGTAACTAGTTTTTACTTTTCTCTTTTGTATCTGCAACTATTTTATTACATGTATTTGCAAATGAAGTTAAAGAGCTGAACAAAGGGTCAGGAAAACAAAGAACTGATGATGAAGCATCAGTGAATGTATGATTGCAAATCTTTTCCTCCAGATTAACATTTTGTTCTGTTTTTCTCTGAACTTCCTCTTTGTTGCTGCCACAAACACAAGCTGTTTTCCTGGCATTGTGCTACGAAGCTCCTGACCTCACTCTGGATGGCAGTATCTGTTCCACAAAATATTTAATTTTCTCAAGTGCATTTAAAAACACACAGAACATGTGTAATTACATCCTGTGAAACAAGCCAGTTTGTCATTTTCTGATCCTCTTTTTATTTCATCCATTCTGCTTCTGCTTTTGTCATCTGTTCCTGCACGTTTTAGTCCGAGATGTGAACCTTTTTCCTTCTTCACCTACAAATGTATACCCATGATGACAATTCATTTCCAATGTGAATGAATGCAATCACCTATTTTCAGGCATCTATTGTGTTGTTTGTAATGCTACCAGAGAATAAATTTAAATATCATTAGGAGTTTCATGAGTTTTTCAGTACTAATTTTGGTCTTTCATGCTGTAGTAAGTTGATACATTTACATTCAATAATTAACTTAATGCACATTGAGAATTGTAATTATCTTGAAATTCTCATGCACATAGGTTTGTAGCTTTGACTGTTGACTAGTACCTGCAAGTGAACTTAACTTTTTTTTTAAACAATTCAAAGACTACTTCCTATTATGTTACACCTGTTTTACCTTTGTTCCTGTAAAACAATTAGCCTCAGTTATCTTTAAACGTGGCATGATGATGCACGCTTTATTAAAATTGCAGTTAAATAAGATATTCCTTAGTGTAGCCTTTTACATTATGATTAGCTTGATATAAAAAATATGAGAAAAAATGAGTAACCACATTCAAATTAGAAGCATTCTGATCATTTTTATTATTTATTTATTTGTGGCTCATGTTATGTGTTGAACTGACAGACAGACAAGGTAAATTAACATGGAGTTGGATCTGATATGTGATGCATTCAAATATAATTCCACAGATTCATTGGAAATGAGAAAGCAGAAAATCATGTCCATTTAGTGATAAACCTGTTTTAAGGGTGATACAGTAGATACCAAACCAATCAGTAGTGGAGACAAACCCCTTTCTTAAAAGTGAGTAAATAATACTATACCACAAGCACACAAGATGTTTTCTTCCTTTGTACATACAGCTAAGTACCAGTAGGAACATTTTTATTGTCGATCTGATTCATACAAAGAAATTACACTGTAAATTGCAGGTTCTATTATAAAGGGTTACTGGAAAATAAAAATGAAAAGCAAGTAGTACAGTATGTGCATTTTAAAAAGGTGAAAGGGTCATTGTGAGGGAAGGGATTTAATGTTGTCCTTAGTTTCAGCCTTGGAGTGTTGCTATAAAATTAATTAGTAACAGATGTTTCCCGTCTGGTGGGTCAGTGAGGGCGCAGCAGGAAGCCGGAGAAGATGCTGTAACCATTCGGGCTTCCTCTCATCCCTCTGTAGTCTTTAGTCTCTATCCAAATCTCCTGATCTTTCGACATGTAGACTGCCAGGCCACCTGAAGTCACCTGAAATCAGTACAGTCGAAATTTAATGCTAGAGGGTCTAGTGTGACTCAAAACAAACTGACTCCATAATCTGCTCCTAACCACTCTTTGCCCCTCTGATCACATCCTGTTTTCTAGTGACTGTATAAATTACAGATGCCTGGTACTGACAAATTGTACAGAACACAGTCAGCTAGCATTAGCTGACTAACAAGTAAGCATGTCAGTCCAGTAGAATGCTCTGGTTACTGCTAATGTAAAGCACTAATGTTACTCAACTCTTGAATTATTCCCAAATTGAAATCATATTAATTCAACACAAAGGTAAAATCATGACCATGCTAGGTCACTAATGTTACCAAAACAAACAGATTAGCTTTAGATGCTAACACACCCAGAAGGAAGAACGCCACATCTGAATCCAGTCTAAGTCCTTTGGCTGCTTTCAACCCTCTCCGTGTCAAAAAGCCAAACTGATGTTAACCCTGGTTTTTGCTTTTTCTTTGTCCCATTCTCTCTTTGCAAAAGATGCCACCGCTTCACTCTGGCAGGCACATTTTTAGCTGCTGAGAGCTCCTTAATGGCAGCTGTTTAAAATTACTATTGCGGTTTGAAAAACTTTGGCTAGGTGGGACTAATTTACAGACTTTAAATTGACAACATACAGTAAAGAAGTTGGAATAACAACAGAAGGGCTGTAGGCAGCAGAGTGTTATGGAGGGGGGAGTGTAGCTGAGGGGCACCACATCCTGTCCCTGTTGTCTGGGTTTATCAGACAGTGTGAAAAATCTTAGTTAATGCACCTTTAACCACCAGAGATTAACGCCAGTGAAGGAAAGGGCAGTAACTCATTGCAAGCATTCCCAATACTTTATAGAGCAAAATTTGATACCTGGTCAAATCACGACTTTCATGGACATGCTGAACCATGAGTGTATTTTTGTTGAGACTCATTTGCTTTCATAGATCCTTCAGTGTTATATAGTGGCACAATAATTTAACATGAATCTGTAGTATTGCTTCACACTTGTACCTGTCTCTGGTTGCGGCGATGATCACAGAATGATGTCAGTAACGTCTGGTCCAACTTCAGTTGCACACAGAATCGGTCATCTACAGATGCGTGGTACACAAAGTAGTATGTCCCTGGGATCCGACACCTACAACACACGATTCTTTCACTAAATGTGGACTAATTCTTAAAAACACCTCAAATTAGTATGAAAAGAAATGTTTTGATTTTGCTGAACATGCTTGATTGCAAACTAATCAGGAAAATGTTTTGCCAGCTAATGGCATCTGTCCATCATTTGATCCTGGCTGAAGTATGTCTACAATAAGTGGGTGGATCCATAATCATGGCCATAGTACCATAAAGCTGACATTTGTTGTTGAAATATCTCAATAACTATTGAGGTGTATTCACACTACAGCAGTAAAAGAGGGGTCTTTGGCTGCATGCTTTGCATTGGTTGACACGGTATTTATCCCTTCCAAACTCCTGTGGACATTGCAATCTCAGCCACCTTAGCTACAATGCTAATGTTGCTAACAGTAGATTGCTGTGCTCAGTGATATTAAATAAATAAAAAGCTGATATTAAATAGAATAGAAAATAGAATAGAAATAGTTTCTCTTGGTCTGGTGTGGACATGTGGGCAAATTGTTATTGTGCAATTTGGGAAATTTGACAACACAAGTAGGTTAATTCGTTTTTTTGAATGTCTAGGTGATATTTGATATGTAAAAAAGTGAAGTCTGCTGTGATGAACCGTTCTTATTCTTTCTTTTACTCCTATACTGTTTTTCTGTGATAATGCAACTGTGCCTTTAGATGGAGTGCAACAAAATTTGATATTCTAGAAATTCTTGTTCCCCCAAGGATAAATTGTGATAATGCTGGAGATGGTGTTTGGCTGAGGATGGTGTGTAGTTGGATGATGTTGTTAGTAAAATCTAAATGAGCTATGATTCCAGTGTATTCCAGTTTTATAGACTTGTATATCCAGCACCTATCCCACCAATGTTTGGTGGAGGTGGACAATACTACTCCACCTTAATAACAGTGAAAAAGTTAAATCATTGCAAACACCATATAGGGACACCCCAATCTGGCACAATCTGTTTTGCAACCTGTTTTGGACTACACAACACCTCTATCCACTTTTCATCTTGGCAGCAAAAAGGAATCACTCATCTCCACCACCCATTTCAAAAATACTCCTCACATTTGGTACACAAATCCAGATATGCAAGGTTGGGGAAGAAAGGGAGAACATGCTAGCATGCTAACGCATTAAAGTAAATATAATACCTGCTATTAACATTGTCACCATGAACATGTTAGCATACTGATATTAGTATTTAGCTCTAAGCACCTAAACAGCCTCACAGAGCTCTTAGCATGACTGTACACTTTTGTTTAGTGATCACCCTAATCTAATTCAAGAAAACAGGTGGTTTTCTCACCTGAAGTGTCCTGTCTCAGTGTTGTAGTCATCGTTGATGTTGGTGATGACAGTGGTGAACCGAATGGTGCTGCTTTTATCTGGGTATTCATTGGTTCCTCTGGCCACACTGAAGGCTGCTTTTTCCTCAACTCCAACAGCCCTGCAGCAGCAAAGACAGCAGTATTCACAACACTATGAACTGTGGGCTCTGAACTTAGTTTAAAGAGCCCATGTCATGCTTTTCCCTGTTTTCTAACTTATCTACAATGTTAGAATGGTGAATTATCATCTGAGATGTGACCTAAAGCTTAAAAAATGAGGTGTACGCATGTTCTAGTATTTCTATGCAGAAGCTACTTGGTTTATACATGTCTTGAAAGCTCTCACTCATGAGACTGTTTTCTAATAAAATAAAGTATTATGTGATAGTTTAAGGATTTCCTTGAATGGTCATAATCTCCAGGCAGTTGTGTGTTCATGTGAGCTTGCCTGACATCCACTGGTGCCATTGTAAAAGTGGAATTTTTCAACTGCACACGGTTTTGTGGATATATTTTCCCTCCTCCTGCTGCACTGTGACCAGAGGATGTGAATAAAAATACAGGGTCTGAGGTTGCTGCATGTACAGGAATGTTCCTGTACAGGCACTCGCTGTTTTACCTGGCCAGGTCTAACCTACAAGCAACCGGTTTGTGAAGCCCCCGTGGCAGTGAATGATCAGCTCATCAATGCTAGATTCCTGCGAGTTTGTTTGTTTTGACTGCTTGGTGGTTAGATTATGCCAATGGTTAGAGCCATCGGTTGAATTGGCGCCGCAGATGGCTGCCACCGGTTCTGTACCGGAAACAAATTCCTTGTTTGTAACATACTTGGCCAATAATGGTGATTATCCTTATTATCCTCCTTATCCTGCTTGAGGCCACTGTGTCTGCAGCATGTGATGTGTTGCTAGTCAATGAGCAGATTAATGATCCATGATCTATGTATGTCTCTGCTGATATCAGAATGCCTGTGCCTTGCTCAGTGGTTTGTCTGGATACATACCCCTCTATTTCCGGATCTCCTTCTTCACCTGGAGGTCCATCTGTCCCTGGGGCCCCTGGTTTTCCTGGTTCCCCACCCTGACCACGTTTACCAGGGAACCCCAATGGGCCCATTTCCCCCTTTGGTCCTTTCTGAGGGCCGACACTGCCATACCATTTTTCTCCTGCATGCATCAGTAACAAAAGCATTAACCATCTGACCTGCTGTTGGACAATTTAAAAGAATTGTTTTCCTTTTTCCTCAAGGGTGAAATGAGACGATCAACATTAATCTCATGTCTGTGTGGTAATTAAGGCACGATGGAGTCAGGACACATTAGCCTAGCTTAGCATAAAGACTTGACACGTGTGGTAATTAAGGCACGATGGAGTCAGGACACATTAGCCTAGCTTAGCATAAAGACTTGACACTGGGGAAAACAGCTAACCTAGCCCTGTCCAAACCTCAGTAATTAATACTATACATATATTTTTTAGCTTAATCCACACACAGAGAGAAATGTTGAAGGAAAGGGAAACAAAATACTTTTAAAAGCATTTCAGACATTATAATTTGAGGTCCACATCTTGTGACTTGAAATAAGTTGAACAAATATCCGGCTGAATGCTCAAATTACCTTTATTAGCCCACTTTCCAGCATGAACTATATTTGTATGAACTCTCTGAAATGGTTTCTTTCATCTAACATCTACATTAAAGGACATTCTTTTTGTGATTTTCATGCAAAGATTAATTAAAGTGCAGTCTGTTAAAATTTCCATTAAAGGATGAAAACTAAAGGTCACCTTACTTAACCATAAATAAATGGCACAAAATGTGATAAGGTTGGTGTCAACATTGTTGGATCATGTTTGTGATGCAAATTTAATACAATTTCCTTCATTATCTCAATGAGGTTTCACACAATGAAGAGGTAAAATGATGGCAAAACAGTCTGAAAACATCTTTGTAGCTGAGATTTAGGACCTAAACCTACCCATAAACTCCTTTGCTGTGTAGGTACACACAGACACCTACATGTAGAGAGAAGCATACAGTAAATTAGCCTTAAGAGTGTGTTGGATACCTGGTTCTCCTTTCTGCCCCCTCTCTCCATCACGGCCGTCTCTGCCAGGCAGCCCAGGAATACCTGAGGACAGGCAGGTAGATAAACACAAGCCAAACGAACAAGATACACGTTGTACCTTGTACATGCATGAATGTGCATACCTGGTAATCCAGGCATCCCTGTTCCTGGGCAGGTCTCCATGGCAACCAGCAGGGATACAGCCAATGATAGCAGGGCACCAACCAGAAAACAATGATGGAGCATGATGGAGAACCTGACAGGAAGAAGAGGAAAAGAGATGAAGAGAGAGAAAGCATGGAGGACTTGCAGAAGAAGAAAGAAGCAGGGGAGAAGCTTCTGGTTCAAATCTACAACAGCGCCTCTGATCAGCTGAATCAGAAAATAGCTCCCGGTGTTCCTCAGTAAAACAAACTAAATCTGAGGACAGATCATACAACTCAAATATCAATGTCCTCTTTTGATACCAAAACATGCAATCACAACAATAAAGAAACAAACGACCTTGTTAACAAAAGCAGATTCTGTTTGACTAAAACATTTGATAAACTCATAAACTCAGATGCAAAAAATAAATGTAAAAAATGTATAAAACTCACCCAAGAGAACAGACAAACAAATAAAACCCACCGCAATGCGTTCAAAGCAAAGTGAAGTTACGTTCCGAGTATTGCAGCAGTTGGGGGAGAAAGCGGACACAAAACCAAAGATTCAGCAGCTTTTACACCGGAAATTAATTTCTGAGCCTAATGTATGTAGTTCTGCAATTTTAGGAACATACTGAGTGGTTGGAAGAACAGAGGAAGAGAGAGAGAATTATGAAGCAAATCCTGAAACAGAAGAGGAGGTTGCCAACATGTTCTTTATCATAGCTGCATATTTAGATGCCAAATACTTATGACCACCAAGTCGTCAAACTGTGACACAAATGAAGATAACCAATCTAAGTTCTCTATGGTTAAAATATGTGGACACCCATATGTGAACGTTTAACGTGATTCTGAAACCTTGTTCATTAACTTGCTGCTTAAAGCCTCCACTCTGATTTCTGTTGAACCTTGCTGCAGGTATCTGCTCCCACTCAGCCACAAGAGCATTAATGAGGTCTAGAACTGATTCTGGGTGATGAGACCTGACTCACAGTCGGCGCTGTAGTTCATCAAAAAGGTACTGGATGTAGCTGAGGGCAGTGCTCTGTGCAGACCAGTCAGGTTCTTCCACACAATACAGGGAAAACCTTTTCTTCATAGAGGTGACTTAGAGCACAAAGACTTTGTCATGTTGAAACAAGAAATGGTCTTCTCCGAACTACTAACATAAAAATGGAAGCATATCATTTTATGTTGTAAATGGTCAGTGAAATTATATCTACTGTATATAGCACTTTTCTATTAATTCAAGTACACTCAAAGTGCATTATACTATTTGCCTATTCACACACAGGAGCAATTTCAGGTCATTGTCTTGCACAACAACACTTAAAGGACAACCCACTTCACCTCCTGAGGCACAGCCATAATATAAAGTTTTACCTTTTTTGGGCTGTCCATGTATATCGGGTATTCTTTACTTTTCTTACTGTCAACAAAACCAATAAAAAGACTAAAACCAGCAATGAATGTATCGTCTGTACATCCAAAGTCTGATATATCTTACTCCTCTGTGCCACACAGCTCTTTTGTGTCCAAAAACTATTAAAAGCACACCAGTGAGCTGCACTGTTGCACTGTACAAACACACACTCTGTAGTTTATTGTAACTCGGTCCCACACACATCTTGCTCATGGACTTAAAGCACCAACCAGCTAAAAACAGTACCCAGCTAATGCGCCATTACCTGCTGTTTGAGTAACATTTGCTAATACCTACAGTGTCCAGCTGTTTCGGGAAATTAATGAACAAATCTAACTCTGTATTTGTGAGATCACTTTAAAAATGCATGACTTCAGTGACAACCAGTGGGCTCTGGGCTGAGAGCCACAGACAGGGTAGAGACGTACAGAAAATACACATTGTTGATACTGGTCATTTTGTGGGACCTGTTGATATCACCAGCCAAATCTTTCAGGTGCTAATGAATATCTTGAATGCATTTCCTGTGTCAGAAAACAGCTGCAAATACAGTATCTTTTAAATGCAATTTGTTTATATCAGTCCACCCTTACCCCCACAACTGCCCTCTACAGTAGACAGAATCAAATCAAATCAAATCAAGTTTTATTTGTATAGCGCCAAATCACAACAAAAGTCATCTCAGGACACTTTACAAACTGAGGTCTAGACCTTACTATTATCACTATTATTACAGAGGGAAAACCCAACAAATCCCCCTGAGCAGCACTTGCTGACAGTGGGGAGGAAAAACTCCCTTTAACGGAAGAAACCTCCGACAGACCCTGACTCTTGGTGGGCGGCCTCCTGCCTTGTCCGGTTGGGGTGAGTGGATAGAAGAGAGACAAAAGAAGAAAAGCAACAAGACACAACAAACAAAGAGTAGGAGGGGAGGGGAAAGAAACTCAGAGCATCATGGGGCCCCCAGCAGCCTAGGCCTATAGCAGCATAACTAAGGGAGGGCTCAGGGTCACCTGATCCAGCCCTAACTATAAGCTTTATCAAAAAGGAACGTCTTAAGTCTAATCTTAAAGGTAGAGAGGGTGTCCGCCTCCTGAACTGAGACTGGGAGTTGGTTCCATAGGAGAGGAGCTTGATAGCTAAAGGCTCTGCCTCCCATTCTGCTTCTGTGGACTCTAGGAACCACAAGTAAACCTGCACTCTGAGAGCGAAGTGCTCTGTTAGGATGATAAGGCTCTACGAGGTCTTTAAGATACGATGGAGCCTTGTCATTAAGGGCTTTGTATGTTAGGAGAAGGATTTTAAATTCTATTCTGAATTTTACAGGGAGCCAGTGGAGAGAAGCTAATATGGGAGAGATATGATCTCTCTTGCTAGTTCCTGTCAGTACTCTGGCTGCAGCATTTTGGATTAACTGGAGGCTTTTTAGGGAATTATTGGGACATCCTGATAGTAAAGAGTTACAGTAGTCCAGCCTGGAAGTAACAAATGCATGGACCAGTTTTTCAGCATCACTTTGAGACAGGATGCTCCTGATTTTTGCAATATTGCGCAGGTGAAAGAAGGCAGATCTAGAGACTTGGTTTATGTGTGATTTAAAGGACATATTCTGATCAAAGATGACTCCAAGGTTCCTCACAGTAGTACTGGAGGCAAGAGCTATGTCATCTAAAGTAACTATATGATTAGACAGCAGATTTCTAAGGTTTTCAGGCCCAAGCACAATAACTTCGGTTTTGTCAGAGTTTAGAAGTAAGAAGTTGCAGGTCATCCAGGCCTTTATGTCTTTAAGTCATGCTTGAAGTTTGACCAGCTGATCTGATTCATTTGGCTTCATAGATAAATATAACTGAGTATCATCTGCATAGCAATGGAAATTTATGTTGTGCTTCCTGATAATATTGCCTAAAGGGAGCATGTATAAAGTGAAGAGAATTGGACCTAACACAGAGCCCTGTGGAATGCCGTGACTAACTTCAGTTTGTGTGGAACATTCGTCATTAACATGAACAAATTGAAATCTTTCTGATAAATAAGATTTGAACCAACTTAGCGCAGTTCCTTTAATCCCAATAACATGTTCAAGTCTCTGCAGTAAGATGCTGTGATCAATGGTGTCAAAAGCAGCACTGAGATCTAAGAGGACAAGTATGGAGACAAGTCCTTTGTCCGAGGCTAGGAGCAGATCATTGGTGACTTTCACCAATGTGGTTTCTGTACTATGATGGACTCTAAATCCTGACTGAAAATCCTCAAACAAATCATTCTTGTGCAAGTGGTCACATAACTGCTTTGCAACAGCTTTTTCAAGGATTTTGGAAATAAATGGGCGATTGGATATTGGTCTATAATTAGCTAGGACACCTGGGTCAAGAGTAGGCTTTTTGAGTAGAGGTTTAATTACTGCAAGTTTAAAAGCCTGTGGAACATAGACTGTTAATAGAGAGAGGTTAATCAGATCTAGTATGGATGTGTTGATTAAATGTTACCTCTCTAACTCTGACAACCCGAGTTCAATTTCTGACTCATGATGGGATGTACTTATCCAAGAAGCAGTTTCAGCAATTGAGAAGAACACACTTCACACGCACACAACATAATAATGGAAGGAATAGGTCAACTAAGGATGTGCCAATTTTACCAAAAAGAAGAAGTGCATAAAAACTGCTGCTTTTCCATCTTCCCTTCTCTAAGATGTTACATGCTATGAGGTCAAACAAGTGTGTTTTTGTATTTAAATGCTGAGATTTTCACTATGAATGTATGATGATGTCTTGGTCTGTTTAGAGATGTCACCGTTTCTGTATCTGTGTCAAAAAATAAAACAGGTGCCAGTTTTAAAAGAGCTGCAAAATCCTGTCTGTGAGTTAGGGTTGTACCAGAGTATTTGGATTAGAGCCAACACCAATTAATCCCAGGACCAAGGATTATCAATATTAATACCAGTATTGATACTTGTTATTGATAAAAGCTGCCGATTTATTAGCATGCACAGCAGAGAAATATGTCATGATTTATAAGGTGTTATTAACAGGCTACTACCCCTGAATATATTTTAATTGCCCCCAAATAATTTACCAAAACATGAGGCTTTTCTTTTTACTTTACTTCAAACATGACAGTTTGCAGTTAGAAAATATCAAAGTGTTCATTATGGGAATTCAGTAAACTAAAGCAAATATTGCAGCACTAGGTTTGTCATGTTTGTGTGAAGCAACATGCTGTGCTGGAGTAACCATACGTAGGGTTGTGTCTGGTCTCAATGCCAATTAAATCGACAAATTTCCTTTGCGATCATGCTGACAACATTTTTATATCTTGAAACTCAGCTGTGAACTATGATGACATCAACAACAAAAGCTCTGTATGATGAGATGCATTATTCCTTTAACCTTACACACACAACATGAACATACACACACTCAATAACAAACTTTATTTTTTGCAGCACTTGTAGGCAAAGTCAGCATTCAGAGAAGGGTTACATGAGTCAGCGTGAAGGATTGACACAAACATACAAACAAATGCTACAAAGAGCATTTAACAAATACTAATGCTTTGACACTCTGCTTTGATAAACTGTGCTTCTAAAAACTGTTCTTGAGAAATGCGATCAGAGATTTTTAAATGCTGAATTCATAGGGAGATGTAGTCCCAGAGATTTTTAAATGCTGAATTCATAGTCTCAGGTTGTCAGCTCCCACTGAGTGTATGACTGAATTTATTCGGGAATTTAAAAGAGCAAGAAGCCGTTGAAGATGATCTGTTTTTCGTTTTGATCTCCTGCAAGATTCGCTGCCTGCTGCTCCCTAAAGGACTCAAGCCAGACCTTCTGTCCAGCTGTCAGCTCTAGGACCACACCACCCGACAGCACCTGAAACACAACACAGCCAGTCACATCGAGGCTTCATGACAAAGCTGCCGACAAAGACTTTGTCACTCTAACACTGCCACCTCCTTTGCTTCCAGTCATAATTACTACAGCTGCTTTAGGGGCTGTTTCAGTCGTTCTTCTTAGGAGGACAGTCTCAGACATGGAGGAATTTAAGCGATTTCCCCCTCATGACATTGCACCAAGGCAGTGAAACTGACCTGCTCTAGGTTCCTGTTGTTATAATTACAGAATCCCAGCTTTCTGTTTTCCAGAGCTTCACTGACTATCCTCAGACACATGTTGACCTGCAAACACACAACACAACTGTAATGCAGTATGATCACAGAGCGGTAAGCACAGATCACAAATCCAAAGTTTAAAATCTCTGCAGATTGGGTTTTACTGAAACTACTGCAGAATTATGGCTGTCTAAGAGGTACAGTAGTATAATTCATCCTTATGTCCAAAACTGTACTTTTGCTTTATTTCAGGGACAAATTAAAGGGTAACTTCATGCTAAATCAGTTTATTTTAGCTGTACACATAGTCACATAGAATTCTGTTGACACATTCAGTGCAGGTAAAAATGGCGTTTTCTTGTCAGGTTTAGCTAATTCCTGTCAGTTTGGATTTGAAAGTTCCTTCTACTGAATCCTCTGGCTCCTCCTTGCCAACTATATTAGCTTGTTAGCATTAGCAAGTCTAATAAGAGCTGAAAAGCTCCTGTGATGTTACGTTGTATGTGAACAAGGTTTATTGCTCAGAAGAGGTGGTACATACAACATACTGTATGGGCATGCAGATACAGTCAGTATGCTGTCTTCAGAGTGTAACAGTATGTTTAGGTTTGACAAATAGTAACAACAGTGAGAAACAGTGGTGCTACATTACTGACACTCCCCAGCTTCTCATGGCTGTTAGCTCTGTTTCTGTCCACGCTACTGTGTGAGCAGTGGTCGGTGTCGCTGTGCCTCCTGACCCGCCACGTCACACGTTATGTAGCAGTAAGGTCCCTACCGATTGCTCCTCAGATGCATTATTAAATATGCTGAGAGAGCAGAATGAGGGTGTGTAGTTACCCTTTAACTGACCATAGTAAATATGCGAGAAACTGTTGTCCCAGGTGGTAAAACATTCATTTAAATAACAATATGGTGCACAACATGTGTGACATTTCACAAAATGGTCAGCATTAATTTTCATAACTGTAGCAGTAAAGCGGATCGGTGTGTTACCTTGGCCACTGAATGGAAGGTGAAGTAATAAACACCAGGTACGCTGCAGGTGAAGACACCTGTGTTGATGTTAAAGTCCTGAGGTTCGTTGACCACAGTTTGTTGGTAGGTTACTACCTGATACACACACAGAGCAGTCAATAAAAGATAATAATAACGCAACTTAGGAAATGTAAAAATAAAAAAAGAATAAAAGACTGGATGAAAAATGAACATTTGCTGATATATGTTCCTGTAATTTTCCAGTTATTGTTACATACAATGAACTATTCTCTAAATACTTCATATGAAAACTGTCAGTGGATTATCCACAGTAATGGGGACTAGTTCTGGAAAGACTCATTCTAGCATCTTGAAATATAATGAGATAAATCTAAAACTGTTTGTGTGGCTATTATCAAAAGTAACAATATTTTCTTTTATTGTGGCGGGGAAGAGAGAAAGAAGGAACATTCTTTTGCATTGCAGGTTTTAAAACATGTAAACAGAACGTTTAGAGACAGAGATGAGAGACCTTGTCGTAGGGAGGATAATTACTGCTAGTCCTGATCACTGAGAAGGCTGAGCGGCGCTGTGCAGAGGACTGCTGTCCTGTAAGCACACACACACACACACTTATATCACCACTGGGTGTGGTCACAGATGCAACAGACTTATTATGCAATACAATATACAGTATCAATCGATCGATCTATCTATCTTGTAGCCTCCCCTCACTGATATAAATGGGGTGGACATAGTAACAGTATAACACAAGAGAACATATTTTAAGGATGAATTTCATTGTTGATTGTTTACCATGTTCTGCAGTATGCCAGCTTTCTTGCTCTTATGAGAGGCTTGTATTGAAATAACCCTTCTTGACACTTAGCAATCAACATTATAAATTCTCTTTGTCCCCTTCACCTCTCGTTTTTTGTATGACTCTCCTGTGGCAGAGGTGGGTGGAATTCTTATGGTCAGTTTTCACCCCGGTGCATCCTCTTGTTTCTCATAGCTTGTTGTGTATTTTGTTGTTTTTACCAAAGTCATAGTGTCTGTTTTTATCTTTTGATATAGAGATTTCAACATATTAGCACATATCCATTTATTTTCAACAAACAAATGCTGCTTGCTTAAAGTTTCATTAAACTAAACTAACCCCTCTATTGCTCTTTACTAATTTTATTTGTGTGAGACCTGGACCCGACAGCTCTGCTTTTTGATCTTCATACTGCATAGTAATGAGTTTAACATTGTGTACAGTGTTCGGCTTAGGGCCTGAGGTCATCTTATTACCTCTGCCGAAGCGCCCATCGGGGCCAGGAGGACCAGGTTGTCCAGGGCGTCCCACTGTGCCCACATCTCCTTGGAAACCTTTAGGGCCCATGGGGCCTTGCGCGCCCCGATTCCCTTTCTCTCCCCTCAGGATCAGCAGGCTGCTTGCATCCACCAGACTGTTGGCCATATCAGCTGGAGATAAACAAACCAGTGATTAAAATGCTACAGTTGGATATTACAGTGCTGATATCATACCCGAGTTTCACTGCCAGGACGTAGTCTAATTTACACTGAAGGGAAGTACATGCCCCTTTACTTTCAAACCCTATTGTTGCCCACCCCACTTTTACAGTTCAGTTTGATTTACTGAAAAAAAAAATCCTTCTCTACAGTGTCCCGTTACTGCTGGGCTCAGAAGAGCTGATAAACAGCTCATCTGAGTCAACTTCAATTACTACTGTGCACTCACAGCAGCAGAACTGTGATTAGCTGATCTTTGCCCTGGGTTTTGCCTCTCAGGCTACATGCAGGCTGCTCTATTCTTGGTAGGGGTTTGCAAGAAGGAGTCATATGCAACCTGATTGGGAAACAGCAGACATTTATGGATCCTTATTTGTTGTAGCCCCCATTTTGTTCATTCCATTTGTCTTTTCTCTCTGTCTCTAATGTGTATTCATTTCCTTCTCTTATATGTGTGAATGATGCGTTTAGGTTTTGCCTCTCATGTGATTGTGTAGCCTGTCCCACCAGATCTTTGTCTGGAGGGAGGTCATGTGACTTGGGACATACTGTCTTTTGTTTCAGTCATCTTGGCTCCTGGGCCTGTGCCTGATAGACCCATTCAGTAATCCAACCATGCTAAGAGCAGCATGATGGAAGGACAAAGGACATAATATCTCACATACCAAAAGGAAAGGCCTGAACAACAGATCTTCAGGAAGTAACAACAAGCTGCTTTGTATTTGTACATTCAGGACATTTTTACCTGGCTCTCCTTTTGGTCCCTTCTCTCCACGCCTTCCATCTCTACCCCGGGCTCCATTTATACCTGCCTGGCCGTCAGTTCCTCTACAGCTCACATCACATTGGCCGGTTGCCAGAAGCAGGGCAACGCCCATCAGAACCAGCAGCCCATAATAACCTCCCATGGTCCAAAATGCTGGAATTAACAATTAAAGATCCTTAGAAAGAGAAGAAGGTGATTATTTTGGAAGTCAGAAGACAGCGAGAAGAAAAAACTAAACGCTTTGTCTTGATATTGAGATCATGCCTTCGGTTTTTCTTGGAATATATTTTTTAAATAAACAACTGACCCTTCTATGCTATGGTTCCAGTATTTATAACCTTAATATATTTGAATAAAAATTAATAATTTTATTTAAATGTGACATTTTAACAGTATTAAGCCACCAAAATATCCATCTATCCATTAGCTATAAATGCAACTCTTTACTCACAGATAAGAAGAGTGAATAAACATTCACTGTGTTGGATTATGTGTCTGCAGTGAGTGTCATGTCTCTGTAAGTTGTTTTACAAAGAAATGAAGTGAAAATATTTGCCTAAAAGGAGGAAAATCAGCCTCAAGTGGGAATCTGAAACAAAAACTTCATTCTCGCCCAATGAACAATCTAAAAATATGTTATGGTACCAACTGAAAAAATAGAAACCAACACCATAAAGGCTTTAATCCAACTAAATCTAAATCACAGAGTAATAAAAAAATATATATTTGTTTTTAGATGGATTTTTTTAACTTCCTTTAAATTCAGTTAGTTTCTATGAAAACAACTTGCAGAAACGGACCCATCTCCATCTTCTCTTGTCTTTACTATTAAATTCTGTAGCCTGAGTCATATTGTTTTGCTGTTGACTACTATTATATTACTGACAGAACATGAACAAATAATAAACAAAAAAATGTCTGTTTTCTATCATCATCAGAAGTTCAACACACTTTAGCTTTGCGAGACACTGCTTTACTCACCAGTCGGGTTTTCTGTCCCACCAGTGGAGATTTGGAGCCGTAATGAAACGATGTGATTTCCTCTTTTACTGAACGGCTCAAGACTTTTCACTAGACTGAAAAAAAGACTCGCTGATTTAGTCTCACACACACACACACACGTGTCACGCATGCACAAATGCACATCAACAGTACAATATCAGCAGGGAAATGAAACTTGAGAACTGTTTACGGCTGTTGCTTAAGATTTGGGGCCAGTTTCACAAAGATGTTTTAGGCTGTGGTGTTCGGCTGGTCCTAATATTGGTCTCAGATGAGCTGAACACAAATGAGAGTTTTTAGACTGAACGTCATTGTTGATACAGACACAGAATACTGGGACATCTGACTGTGGTGCATTTAAATTACTTCAGTAAAAGCAATAAAACAATACAAAATATATTAAAAATAAAAGGCCATTCACAATTTTAAAGCACAAGTAAAATAAATACTGAGAGTGAGGAAGAGTTTAGGTTTCCTGTCGTATCTCAAATTTTTATTAACATTTTTATGTTTTCAAATTGGTTTACAAAGGAAAAGAGGGAAATGAAATTAGTGAAGAACAAGTGAATAAAAGAAACAAAACACACCATCAATTGATAGAAACAAATAAACACAATTAAACTAAATAATTAACAAGTGACAGCAACAATGGCTGAGTGTAAACAGAAAACTATCCTCAATTTAAACACATTGCAAAATCACAATGAGGTTTTTAGGCCAGTTTGAACAGATCTGAGTGAGTGGGGCTCCATCTAGTGACCATATGATGCAATGACAGCAAACAGACACGATTTAAATGGCGAGTGGCAAGAATGAGAAATGCTCAGCGGTGTCTCCTGCTGCAGCCCCTGCACACCGAGCCACTGACTGCTGAGCAGGGGAGGACAAAAATATCAAGAGACCTCTAAATATAGTGTAGTCCAGTACAACAGCATCTTTAACTATAAATTGAATGTATACGTTTATGACAATTTCACTTAAAACTGAAACAATTAGCGCTCCATAAACACAGATGTTAAGGCACTGAGGTGCACACAATTGTACAGGTGTGCCTAATAAAGTGGCCAGAGAGTATACAACTCATTAGCAATATAAAAAAAACACAAATATGATGTGCAAACAGAGCCAAACAAATGTATAGAGAACCAGAGTCTTTATAATAACCATCCATCCATCCATCCATTTTCTTCCGCTTATCCGGGGCCGGGTCGCGGGGGCAGCAGTCTAAGCAAAGATGCCCAGACCTCCCTCTCTCCAGACACTTCCTCCAGCTCCTCCGGGGGAATGCCGCGGCGTTCCCAGGCCAGCCGAGAGACATAGTCCCTCCAGCGTGTCCTGGGTCTTCCCCGGGGCCTCCTCCCGGTGGGACATGCCCGGAACACCTCCCTAGGAAGGCGCCCAGGAGGCATCCGAAAGAGATGCCCGAG